ATGTGTGAACAGAAGAGAGAAAGGAAGAGAGATACCACATCCTCAGTGCACCCCTTTGCCCCCTTTGAGTTGACCTTTATCTTGCAATCCACTCTGCCAAAGTCACAATACTGGGTTTTGCTATTGATTAATAGTGGGAGAAAAATAAATTGTTCTGTCTTTCATTCTTGAGACAGCAGAACTCAATTTTGCCTATGCTGCTCAGGAGTTTTGAGCCATCTTTGCTCTTGCATGCTACATACTCCATATTTTTATTTGTAACATTGAATGATATAAACTGTATTGTATTTGCATATCTTTACCATCTTCTCTTCCCTTCTGGCTTCAGGCATCTCCTCTCTTATTAGCTGCCAGATGTGGCAGCTTTTTTTTTTTTTTTTTTTATTTTTTCCTCGCAAAATTGTGTGAAAAAAGTGAAAATCAGGAGCCACCTGACAGTCATACTGCTGTGATTTGGAGGAGAACCAAAACATTTAGCATCAGGTTATTGTTGAATCCAGCTCATTCAATAGTAACTGGAAATTGTTAGTATCTGCCTTGCAGTCTGGCAGCTGTGGGGCATGACACTGGTGGCTCTTCTCCAGTTGCTGATGGACAGATGTCCACATCATAAAAAGACAAACAAAATTAACATTTTTTTCTAGCAGTCTCAGCAGGGGGAGTGATAGGTTCAGTGAGCCGGTGAGGCTGTTATTAATACTGGGCTGTGCCCACAGAAAAGCTTGGAGAGTACTGGAGCGCTAATTTGCAGACCCCTGTTGGACTTGTTCTAGGGAGTGGAACCTTGTGTACCAAGGACAGCAAGTCTTGTTTTGAAAGAAATAGTTTGATGATAGAAGCCACAGGGATGTTACTGAACGTCTGAGACAAACTAGCAGTTTAATGAGGTGTGAAGAATGGTTTGGTCATAGTTCTCTGCACCTACTCTTTTTCTTTTGTTTCCCACGCCTCTAGGGAACCATTTTCATATCTCCTCAGGCTCCTTGATTTTGTTCTATTCCACGCAATCACTTCCACCAGGCATGGTGAATCTTCCTTCCCTTTTTAAGAATTATTTCATTTATTTATTTAACACTGCTAGCAAGAGTCTTACGCTGGGAGGAAATTCCTATTTGACTAGGGAAGTGGATGTTAGACCACAATAATGGGTGGTAAAGATGGTGGGTGCTATTCTGGCCACAGGACTCCTATGAAGTGGATCCTGTACCACATAGATCCAGTGTTATAGGGGAGAAAAACAATTAATACAGGTGAAGTGCAAGATCCTTGCAGTCTGCAGCTTGGGCTAAAACAGCAATGGCCTTCAGTTAGCTGGCTCCTGTTGTTAACTATCATGAATCTCTCGGGAGTAATTTGACCTACATAGTCTCATGACTTATTTGTGTTGTTCTTCTGACACATAAAGCTGGCTGAATATTTTTCATAAAGAAGGAAAGTACTTTCTTTGAAAAAAATACTCGGTGAAAGAATTCAACCCAGGCAAAGAACAAGTCCAGAATGAATATTTAAAATTCTAAAGCTTTACTTTGAGTTTCATTCTACATTTTTACCAATGAAAATTGTTTTAAAATATTTATGTAAAATGCAGAGTAGCAATACTAGAGAATGATGATAACAATATAAATATTGACAAATTCTATTCCATCTTCTTCCTTCCTCTTAGGAATGTTCTTTGCTTTAGAACAGTTTTCTTAAAATTTTAGAATAATTTTATGAACAACTATTGTCTAGTCCATTACTTACAAATTGTTATTCTAAATAGTTATTCAGAATAATTGTCAAATATTAGGTCTAAATAGTAGCTGGCCTTAATGACTGTTTAAAAAAAATACTTTGACTATTTTGTCATTTTAGGATTTGTCCATTTGGATCTATTACGTACAGCTATGAGGACATGCCATGGAATATTGAAAACTGAGCAAAAATAATACATAAAGAAAATACAATATATGACACCTGAAATGATAAAAATGTTTCAACACTGAAACAAAATCTTCTTGAGACCAAAAGCAATTTCAAAGGTAAAAACACTTTCGTTCTGAAGCAGAGAATAAACAAATTTTAAATTATCATATTTCTAGCATGATGGAAAGTCTGCAGCTCAGAACAGCTGTAATCTATGGTACTGCCTCCCAGCTGGTGGTTGTGGGAAGACTTGAACCCAGAGAACTGTGTGAGCGTAATCAGAACTGAGGGTTGAATGACAGATAGAGAAGGTTGTTCCATTGCCTTTATGTGGGTATGTGTTAACATACCCTACATCAGCGTCCACAAGCGAACCTCTAGTGGTGCTGCCCGCATCTCTGTGAGAACGGTCAGGTGGTGCCCAGTTCAGCGATCTCTAGGCTTAGCAACCTTGGTGTCCACTGGTCAGTTGAGGACTTCCTCATGCAGCCCTCCTTCCCGCACAGTGTGTACCGCGGTACCTGCCGGATGCACTAGGCGCTTTGGACAGGGCCCTCGGGAATGTCGTTTTGCTTCCCTCCACCCCAGTTCTCCATAGTGACACCATGAAAAAAATCTTTTAGTTTCACTAGTCAAACCACTGGGGCACTAAAAAGTAATATGAAGTCAAAATGTAAAATAGGTCCACTTTAGAGAAGGAAAAAAGATCTCTTTTAAAGTATTTGCTTGGTGTTTGTGAGGTAGGCTACAGAACATAGTGTAGGACCTGTGAGAGGTAATGTTTGGTCATACTACTTACTTACTGTGAATAGCTATGACAGCAAGCAGACACGTTTAATCGACTACCCTATAATTATGTTAAGGTTTTCACTAAATAACAAATCCCAATTGGCTGGGCCAGAGCCCTCCCTTTCCAGACAAAGCTAATTACTTTGCTCACTCACCCATTCGTTCATTCCAGCAAGTTCTGACCCGTGGTATCATGTAGGTGAGTATTTATTATAGATACTTTTTGCTTAAATTTTTACCATTTCAAAATCTAAATTTTGAGCTTCTGAGCTCCAAAAAGGGAAGGTACATTTCAGTAGGACTTGCTAGAAAGATTTTCGAGAATCCTGTGAAACAACCTAAATGAACCACATATTTACCTTCTTCTCAATGTGATACTATTGTTTTTTTTCCTTAGCCTGTTTTGAATTTTTTTTAATCCAAAGTGATTCACTGAACTATTGCATATGCAAAAGACTACCTTTAAACAGTAAATATATAGCTGTCATAGTTATTGAGTGAAATATATGTCTACATATCAAATTTATAAAACAATCCTACCTTAAATAATATATACATTTCATACTTTCTATATTAAGCTGTAAGTCTAGATAATTATTTCTGGGGCCAGGGAATAGGCTTTGTTTACAGACAACAATACGCTAATATGGATTCTTGTTTCCTTATGAGTCTACTGGTATAAACTTATGTTTGGGGGAGTTTAAGTTATTTGTCCCTAGTAACTGTTTCTAGCAGAAGAGTGAAAGAAAAGATACCTTAGTGTTTTCAGCCTTTCAACTCAGGTAAACGATATGTTACAGCGTAATAATTATTTTTTATACAGAGCCACAGATGGGCAAAGCAATCCACAAAAAATCAAAGGCAAGAGGTTTGTGTCAGTTATTTATAAACGACAGGGGCAATTCTGGGCAGTTCCTGCATAGCTATGGGTTGGCGTGGGTGTCTGCTGATGCCTCCAAAGTGGAGAGCATGAGGACGTGGGCAATGTCCTGCCTCTTGCAGGAGCCTGGAGCAGGTGGTTGGAGAGCAAGGCCTGTATGGCGCATGGTCCATGTCATGCAGGTCGTCCAAATTCGTGCTCTCAGCATACGAGACATCAAGGCCCTTTTTCATTAAAAATAGAAAACTTCATTATGCCTCTTGCTTTCACTGGTTAGCCAAAATTTGTGAGGGCTTGCAAGAATTTCAGTTAGAAGCAGGAAAGACGGTGAGGTAGGTATCCTTGCTGGTTCTTTATAAGAACTGCATGAGATTTTGCTTCCCTGAACAGCGGCTCATCCAAACAGAAACTGTTATTTGCCCAGAGCTGCCAGCCTCCCTTTTCTAACTCCCTTCCTCTAAATCCTTTTCTGAAGCTTTCCTTAGGCTTTCTCTAAGGGTTATGATAATGTGCTTGCTCAGGTAGGTTTAGATCCCAACTGTGCTCCTTTTTTCTTTTCAGCTGAAGCTGTCAATTCTGTGCATAACCATTTCCCAAAACAATGCTCGATAAGGCCTCCTTTATAAATCACCAGCACTCTGCATAGCTTTGTACTCACCTTTGTTTTGAGACTTTGACATCTGCTTACCCATCACTCTCCCCTCTCTCCAGGGATGGGTGGCAATTAGGCTGGCTCCTCGGTATTAGTAGGTTTATCAGAATAACAAAAGACTATGAGGATTGTGAAGAAAGAGAGGATGAAAAAGGGCACAGAAGGAAACAGCAGGAAAGAGAAACTATTCTTGAGGGAAGGTTAATTTCTTTACTGCAATTTCATATTTTCCTCGGATTCTATTTATTTATATACAATCATATAGGAGAAAGGAATACAGAATGAATTACAGTCCCAGGAGAGCAAGTTTAAAAAGAGAAAGCATTCAGGTATAGCAAAAGAGAACTGAAAACGCATACTGTCAAGGAGAGGTTAATATAGAAACTACCTTAGGTTAATAAGAAATATTTATTTTCAAGGATAATTCACTTCTGAAGACTTCCCTACCTCCCACTCCTGTTGCTCTAGCTATGAAGGATTGTTATTGAAAATCTCGGAACAATTTTATCTGTGGAGGTTGGGTTTACTCCAGGGATACATCTGCTCCCCTACTTTTCAAAGGGAACGTCATGAGGCAAGTGATGCCTTAACAACAGAGCTTACCATCTTTCCTGAAAGATCCTCATTTTTCCCAATAGAGGACATAATTCTGTGACCAAAACCATTTCACATTCTGAACTGTGTTAATTTTAATGCTGCCTTACTTAAAAGGACTGGGCGAAAGCCTATTTACCTCTCCCATAGACACTTTCTAGAACAGTCTCACGTCTTTCAAAGATGCAGCTATTTTTGTAGTGTGTACATCACTTTTCATATTAATCACTAGAACAGGGCAATGATTTGCTGAGGGGAAACATATTTTTAACATAGATGTGAAATGCCATCTGCCTTGACCAAAAATGTACTTTAGTTATATTTCTGTGCTGTCAAGGCTGAGAAGGAAAGAAAATTACGTTTCACTCTGCTCAGTTTAGAATTCAGAATTTCAAAATAATGGTTCAGTGGGAGAGGGAGAACAAGCATGTTTATTAATGGAGTATTGTAATTCTCCATATTCTTGGCTCCCTGTGATATTGTCCACACGCTTGGAAGCATGATGTCTTATTTGGAAAAGCTCACTTACAAGATCTAGTGAATTGTTTGGGAAGCTTGTTTTCGTACTGTAACTCAAAGTACCCTGTGATCTGCACTACAGCTGTCTTGTAAAAATTGTTGTCCCGAAGAGTTTAAAATGATACTGGAGTGTAGCATAGTTTCTGCAAAGAAAAACACATTGAGAATCTTAGGTGGAAGCAGTATTTTGATGAAAATGATCAAAGATTATTTCATTTACTCATTTGATACCCCCATGGGATAGGATAATGAATGAAAATTGTGCCTACAACCCTGTTAGGTAATCAGGGAGAAGAACAGGTTGAATATACAGCCTGAAACAGAGAAAATAAGGGTTGTCCTTTTTTTCTGAAGGCTGCTAATTAGAATTATTCAAGAGGTCTCAGTGTGATATAGTGAAAGATACTTGACTGAAAACAAATCAAAGGAAATCTTTAAGTTGCTTTTGAAAATGTGGCTGCAATTTGCCCAAAGTCCCACATTTGTGTAGTACAGAAGTGCAATCCAAACAGACTCCCAGATTTATCTGTGCTTCACTTAGCTGTACACTTCAGCAGATATATGTTTATATTTTTTTATCTGATATTGACTAGTAATAAACATCTTTAATGATTTTTTGAATCTTCGCTACAGAGAATAAATTTGGACACATTTTGCCATAAAGCACTAGAGAGTCAGCAGACAGTAAACTTTTTGCAGAATAACCTTACTGAGTTGGAGTTCTCTGCAGTGGCAAGCAGTGGATTCATGTCCTTGATTCCTCTTAGAAATCTGCAACGGAAACTGTCATTACAGAATCTGAGTTCTGCCAAGCCTAATTATACACAATGCAGCAGAGGAATTTTTCCAAATAATCTTAGAAATGTGTTCAGACAGTTTATTTGGCTAACTTGCTCAAAAACAAATTAGCACATCAACTAACAGGCTGCTAGGGTATTAGGAATTTTTACAGAATTGAGAATTAGAATTTGCAGGAGGAAAAACATAGAGAATGAGTAGGAAGAGAGCGTTTTTGTAACATTTTAAATTAGTCACGGAACATTGGAACAGTCATGATTAGAATATAAAAATTAACTGAAAATATTAGCAAAAATATATAGTAGCATCACATTTAAATAATCAAACAGTAACCTGACCAAATCTTTTGTATGCACATTTTTACCGGGAGGCTCTCTACAACCTGGAGGCTCAGCTACTGACCTTTAAAATACTGGCCTATTTTGATTTCTCCCATAGGCAACCTAAAATTCTCTTAAGCAATTCAGTCAGGAATGTCAGCACAGAAATTCATGTCTGCATTTTTTCTTAGGCTTCAAGTCCTCATGCAACCATTGTCCTATATTCAAAATAAGCACTCAGGAATGGGATTAAACAATCACGAAAGGGCTAGTTTGGCAGTTCTTAGCGCTAAGGACAGCTACAACACTGGGATGTAATTTCACAATCGTTTCTTGAATCAGCAGTGCTGGCTAACCTAGCCAGTTTTGCTGGTTTATGTACCTATGCTGTGAACTTATTCAGAAAGGAAAAAAACAAAAAAACCAAAAACAAACAAACAAACCTTAATCTCGTCTCTTTTGGCTGAGGTACTTTTAACTTGGACCAGATCTGGAAACTGATTCACTGTGTGACCCCCACAGACAGATGTATTAGCCCAACTGAGAAGATTATATTATGGTGAGGGCGGAGTTTTAGAAGTTGGTGTCAGAAGAAATGCTTATCAAGTTCTTCCTTTACAGATAAGAAAGCAACTTATTTAACACATTCATAACTAGGCTAAATCCTTCTATGCAAAGATATTCCTTCAGGTTTAATGTTTGACCAGGTTAAACTTGCTATCAGCTGTGCAACACGGATGGTTCAAACTTCCAGAGTTGCATCTCTTTTCTCAGGAGCTTCCTATTCCTCACAAGCGTTAATACTAGCCTCGCAACACCTGTGTATGTGTTTGTATTAATTCAGCATCATTGCTGTCCATTTTAGAAATGCCAAAATGAAGACCCACTTGGGGAACAGAGGGAATGCAATGTAAATGAAAGGTTATCCTTCTCTTTCTTCTGTGGCTGTTTTATGACTCTAACATCAGTTTGTAATGAGCAGCCTCTGGCCGAGGACACGCACCCCTAAAAAGAGCGTGAGGGTTAAAATCTTTTACAGAGAGCAATGAGAGGGGCATGAACTCAAGTGCTTCACTTAGGATGAGAGCTCTGATGAATGAGCAAAGCTATGAAAGCCATGCAGTGCCTTAGTGCTTTAAAGGATGGCAGTGATACTGGTCTCTTCTTTCGGAAGAAGGACTCCTCCAGAGTGGACTGTAAGAGAATCGGGTCATTTCTTCCAACACCACTTGAGGAACCCAAGGCCAGGGCAATAGGGATGTCAAAGACATTAAGTATTTTCCATTGGTCCCTGAATAATACAAATGTTGATATTAGACAGCTCTTTGCTAACCATGTGGGCTGCTTTGATCCTATTTAGAGGAATGTAAGTCTATGGGCTGCATCAGTACTCCAGGCTCCTTTTTTTTAAAAGCTTTTGGATTCTGCTTTAGGTTTCAGGTTTAAATGCCTTAACCCTTAACTAAACATATTGTTAGAGGAATAGACATCCCTCTGCTCTCCAGGACTCATAGCTGGTACTTTCTCCTTAGGACATACTCAGTGGTGATCCCTTCACAGAAGGCGGAGCTGAGTCTTTAGACACCTTTCCTGTTTTTATATTTTATTTAATAATATTTTCATAAAATAAGTAGGATATAAACCAATTTGTCCCAAGCACTTAGTTACAATATCTAGTACTTTTTTGTGTCTACAATGTTGGGAGTTATTTTCACATCAACAGACTCCCATTTTATATGGAAAAAAAAAGGAATAGGGACAAAACTCTCAATTCTGGTCCCATCTGCATATTTGACCGCATTTCACTACACTTTTAAAGTGATTTAAAGACGAGCATTCATCTATCCCATTAATAAAAACTGTTCCACATGTAAACTTCTACGTCCTTACTTTCCTTAGCAGAGAGAAAAGAATGATTTCATATCAGTATTTTCCTCTGTTATTTTGTCATTAATTAATACACAATTAATTAATGTTAATACACACACTCAGTTTGCAATGCAAGAAATAGCTAATAAACAGTTGAAAACTGTCTATAATCAAAAATTACAAAAACTTATATTGATGATCTCAATATTAGAACTGTTTCTATTCACCGCAAATCAGCCAGCCTACCATAGCTAAGAAATACCCATTTCCTTCCTTGTTATTCATGAACAGCACCTCTGGTTTGTCAGTACTCTATCCAAAAAAGGGAATGTGTGAGAGCTTACGGATTTCTGATTGAAATTTGGGAAATGTGGTTAACAGTATTAGCATAAGGATGTCAGATACTGGTGGTGCTTATTGGCTCAAGTTTATTTCTGTAGCTGTTAGTGGTGCCCAGTGAAAGGACGAGGGGCAATAGGCACAAATCGAAACAGGAAATTCTGTTTCGGAAACAGAATTTTTAACAGAGAGGAAAACTGTTTTTCACTTTGAGAGCGGCTGAGCACTGGAACAGATTTCCCAGAGAGAGGTCATGGAGTCTCCTTCCTTGTAGATATTTAAAACCCGACTGGACATGGTCCTGGGCAACCTGCTTTAGCTGAGCCTGCTTGAGCAGGGGGGGTTAAATCAGATGATCTCCATAGGTCCCTTCCAAACCCAACTACTCTGTCATTCTGTATCTCCCACAATACAGATATAACATTGCACACTTGCATTTTCAATCATATGTGTTTTTGCGTTCCAGTTTATGCTGTGAAAAATGATGAAATAATTAAACCAAGACAATTCATAACGATTTTCTCCCGTATGTAACCTTTACAAATGCCAAATTCAGGAAAATCTGAAGCAGTAGCTATTTCCCTAGACTAAGGGCATTTAGATCCAGCAGTATGTACTTCTAGTCAGACAGCCCTAGAGCAATTAGTGTTAATATATTGTAAAGATATTGACTTTTTGACAAAGACAAGGGCAACTTTATTACTCACTTAGCTCACTTAGGCTGACACTCAAGGAGACTGAAAAGAACAATATTTATTAGAGCTGTCGTTGTTAAGCTGGCCCAAAGGCAATCCTTTCAACTGGAAGCTATCACGTAAAATAACCTATTAACTTAGACCCAGCAGAGTACGTTACAGCAAAATTTGGATGAGAAAAACTTCCCAACAATCAGTTAAGCAAAGCTTTGCAAGGTTAGTCAATAATAAATAACCAAGTTCTAGCTAAACTGGTAAATACACTGTTCAAAACAATGCTTTCCTCTTTTCCTGCACGTCAATTGCCTATTACTGAAATTCACTTACAAAAGAGCTTACACTAGCAAAGAGCAAAATTTGTGTCCTGCAGTTTTCTAACTTCAATGAGGGCAAAAAATCCTTTATAACCAGAGCTAGAGGCACAGTAAAAGCTGGACTACTTTTCCTAAAACTCTTTTTTTGAGGTGATTGTTATTCCACTATATTATAGCTTGACAAAACCTATTAGATAAAGGATGACAGTCTTGGCCAGTGTATCTCAGATCTTCAAATGTGATTATTTTATTTTGTTTTATTAAGTTGTATTTGCCTGCAGTTGACTATGCAGAGGGATGTGAAGGGCAAGAAGAAGGGCTTATACAGGTGCCTCAGCAGCAAAAGTAAGATCGGGGAAAATGTGGGTCTGTGGCTGAGCAGAGAAGGCAGTCTGGTATAAAGGACACAGAAAAGGCAGGGGTATTCAATGCTGCCTTTGCCTCTGTTGTTAATAGTAAGACCAGCCTTCAGGAATCCCAGGCCCCTGAGACCAGTGGGAAAAAAAAATCTTCCTCGAGCAAGGAAGGTTTACCTTTGGTGAGGAGGACTAGGTTAGAGAACGTTTAAACAAACTGGACAGATACAAGTCCATGGGACCTGATGAGATGCAACCACAAGCACTGAGGGAGCTGGCTAATGTCATTGCGATGATATCAATTATCTTTGAAAGGTCATGCCAATTGAGGGAGATTCCTGATCACTGGAGGAAAGAAAATGTCACTGCTATCTTCAAGAAGGGCAAGAAGGAGGTTCCAGGGAAATACAGGCTGGTCACATCACCTCAGTCACTGGGAGGCTGATGGTGCAAATCCCCCTGGAAACTGTTACTAAACAGTTTAAGGATGAGAAGTGATTTAGAGTTGTCAGCATGGATTTACAAAGAGAAAATCAGGCCTGACCAACCTGACAGCCTTCCACAATGAGATGACTGGCTTGGTGGACAAGGTGAGGGCAGTGGACGCTGTTAATCTTGACTTCAGCAAGGCTTTTGACACTGTCTCCTATACCACCCTCACAGACAAACTGATGAAGTGCAGGCGAGATAAAGGGACAGCGAGGTGGACTGAAAGATAGCTGAACTGCCAGGATTGAAGGGTTATGATCAGTGGTACAAACTCCAGCTGGAGGCCTGTAACTAGTGTTATCCTCCAGAGACACGTAACGCTGCTTAACATCTTCATTAACGACTTGGACAATGGGACAGAGTGCACCCTCCACAAGTTTGCAGACAGTGCAAACTTGGGAGAAGTGATTGATAGACCAGATGGTTGTGCTGCCATTCAGAAAGACATTGTCAGTCTGGAGAAAGGAGCCAACAGGAACCTCATGAAGTTTGGTAAAGGGAAATGCAAAGTCCTGCACCTGGGGAGGAACCACTTAGGGGCTGACTGGCTGGAAAGCAGCTTTGCAGCAAAGGAAACAGGGGGTCTTGGTGGACATGAAGTTGACCATGAACAAGCAATATGCCCTTGTAGCAAAGGAGTCCAGCAGCCTCCTAGGCTGCATTAGAAGAGCTGATCAACCAGCAGACTGAGGGAAGTTATTATTCCCCTCTGTATAGCATTGGTAAGACCACGCTTGGAATACTGTGCCCATTTCTGGGCTCCCCAGTACAAGAAGGACATAGACATCCTGGAGCAAAATTGCTGCGAAGATTAAAGGATTGGAGGATCTGCCATATAAGAAGAGGCTGAGAGAACTGGGATTGTTTAGCCTGCAGAAGAGAAGGCTTTTTCTTGCTGCAGTCTCTAGCTAGTTGTGGAAGTGCATGAGGCATGTTTTTCTACCAGTGTCACCACACAGGTACCATGCAAATGGGGTAGTAATCTCTTGGATCAGTTAAAATGAACAAAATCATCCCTTCTTTTTTGGTGATCTAAGTCTATGCTATGACCTAAGTCTAGCTTATGAAACTGCTTCTTTGGAGGATCTCTTCAGTTATCAGCTCAGCAGCTGTGGAATGCTGGTGAAATGTGTGTGTGCATGTTTAGAAGTGACGTAAGTCCAGCCACTGCTTCTAAACTAGACCTTGTTTCCCTCCCGAGTTATGTGGATTTTGAAACACAAAGGGGAATGTACAATTGAAGCTAGATGAGGGAATTCAAAATACAACTGTTAACTACTGCTGCTTGTTCATCATCCTAAGAGAACCAAAGAGCTTAATCATGAAAGAGGACCTAAGTTTGTTTGTTTTTTTTTAATTCTATACCTATTTTTTTGAAAGTAATATGCAGTTATCATATGCACCTCTTGATCTGGGGGTATCAGGACACAGAAGTTTCATTTTTCCTTTGCAGCAATGGTCTTTCTGGCTGGCAGCTTAGCTTTCAAACCAGTTTTCCATCTCTTCCAAAATGTTGTTGAAAACCATCCCCTGAGAAAAGAATGTAAAGCTTTATTGTAAAGATAGAAAAAAAGGGAGAACCTAAACCTAATAAAACAGTGCAGAACTACATTTAAGCAGAGCTCAGCTGTTCATGAAAGACCACGGAGAACTCTTTGTAGACATGTACACAGCACTACAGACACTCCAGGTGGCACAAAAGCAATTTCGGCTACTACGTTGAGGAAATGAGGACTACAAGGCCAAAACCCTACTTGAAAGCTTGTGCCGGTCTGTGAAATAAAGGTGCTGATGGCATTCCTAGTAGAGCATGTAGAATCTTTTTTAAGTTATTTTACCTATACTCAGAAATTCAGCTCTAGCAACAGTGAAACTGAGGAGGTAGAGGTACTCTCAGGGCTGGTGGGAGGAAGGTGTTGCTGTTCTAGCTCTGTCGTAGGTTGCATCTCACCACCTATACTACATTCTGCTTTCCTCTCTCTCTCTCTCTCTCTAACATGCTCAATTTTTAGGACACCTCTGCATCTGGCTTGCGCTAACGGACATGCGGATCTCTCTCTCTCTCTCTCTCTCTCTCTCTCTCTCTCTCTCTCTCTCTCTCTCTCTCTCTCTCTCTCTCTCTCTCTCTCTCTCTCTCTCTCTCTCTCTCTCTCTCTCTCTCTCTCTCTCTCTCTCTCTCTCTCTCTCTCTCTCTCTCTCTCTCTCTCTCTCTCTCTCTCTCTCTCTCTCTCTCTCTCTCTCTCTCTCTCTCTCTCTCTCTCTCTCTCTCTCTCTCTCTCTCTCTCTCTCTCTCTCTCTCTCTCTCTCTCTCTCTTTCTCTCTTTTTTTTTTTTTGGTATAAATACCTGCAGAGAGTTCTAATGAGATTTCTGATAATGCCTGTATGTACTTTGTGCTCTTTCTGCTTACACTTCCCTACTCCAGGACTATAAACTTCCAGTTTGAAAAGCTTTTCCTCTCTGCTAATAGGCCCTCTTCCAAGAATTGCTGCTATTGGTGCTTGTTTGCCGGTCTTTCAGCTGGAGTGTGTTGCGTCCTTGTGGTTGTGTCCTTGAGCATGTTGTTTCATCCACATGTGCTGGCATCTCTAAGGCAAGAAAATTGAATAGGCTATTGTTCTCTCCTCAGCTACATAGGCAAGGTAACTGCTTTTAAAGGGTCAGCAGCACCAGCTTGTCCGAGTCAGTGGCGAGGGAAGGTTATTGACTCAGTCTTTCTGTAAGGGGAAGGATACAGTGAGGAAGATTATAAAGGCTATAAACTGCTCTATGTCTAGGCTGACAATCAGCAGGCAATTTTCGCTCTGGATTTACAGTTTCTACAGCTTTGCAAAAATTGAGTTGACGGTCCTGGTAGAAATAGTGTGCCCTGATGGAGAAGAAGGCCAGACACATGCTGGGCTGTAGCCAGCAGGGATGTGATTCTTCCCCTCTGTTTGGCACTTTGGCAGTGCATTTGGAGTACGGTTTCCAGTTTTGGGTGTGCTCCAGGAAAGACATTGACATAATGGAGGAAGTCCAGCAAAGGGCCACAGTGATAGTCAGGGAGTTGGAGCACAGGACATACAGGGAGAGGTTGAGACAACCGGGTTTGTCCAGCCTTAAGAAGGCTAAGGGAATATCTGACTGGTGTCTTTAACTGCCTAATGGTACGGCATAGGGAAGACGGAGCCACACTCCTCTCAGAGGTGCAGTGATGGGATGCGAGACAACATACAAGAATTGCACCATGAGAAATTCCAATTAGATGCAGGGAAAAATGTTTTCACCATAAGGGTAGTCAAAAACTGGAACAGGTTGTCCACACAAATTGTGATATCTCAGTTCTCAGAGATACTTAAACCATGACTGGGCAGGTCCTGAAGTGAATCAATCTAATTTAACATGCTTTGAGTGAAAAGTTGGACTAGGTGACCTCCAGCGGTCCCTTCCAACCTAAATTATTCAATAATTCTATTATTCTATGATTTGTATCTACTTCATTCCACTCCTCCAGGTCTGCAAACCTTCTCTATACAAGCCAAAGGAAACCCAGCTGCACGTGATCTGATATGGTTACTCCCTGTGGTCATGCCTAGCTTCTGGACAGCACTAAACTGTACTGGATAAGCAGGGCAGCTTGCTATGCTTGGAAATCATACAGAGATAGCTGAACTGATTCTACCTATGTAGAATTAAAATTAATTTGACAATTTATCATCAGCAATCATTGATTCAGTTACAGATGGTCTTTTGGGAGAGTAAAGCTAGAAGGTAGAGGTAATAAAACATAACATTATGTAGAAAATTAGAGCTTTTGATTTTAATAAGAAAATATTTGATTTAATGTGTATGCCATTATTTTCTTTCTCTAAATTGTCTCCATACGGTTCAGCTACATAAAGACAGCAGAAATGTACAGAGGGGTCTGTCTGGAGCACAGCATGGCATGGAGCCAGGCTGACATTGGCTCATGGCAGAACTGCACTGGAAAGTGCAGTCTTATGCACTGTAGTAGGTTGGGGACATGGCACAAGCACGGCTAGCACGACTGTGTTTCCCTACTGGCAAGACGCCCAAAAGCTGGCAGCATGCCCAAGAAGAAAAAGGATGAAAATGGTTCAAAGGGGAAATATACCTACAGCCTGTTAGCATCAGAAATGATGGATGAGGAGAAAGCAAAATGGGCCTGCAAAATAGACTTGCTAACCTAGGAAGCTCACAAGTGTCTGGGTAGTGCAAAACCCCCTCCCCTGGCAAACTCTTTCTACTCCTAGATATCTGTTCCTTCAGTACAACTTTTCCATTTTTTCTGGTTTTCCCCTTAGTCCTCAGATTTAGCCTTGAATGAAGAAGAATCCCAGAATCACCTTTAGAGAGCGTGATGCCTGTGGCCAGGGGAAGGATCTAGGTCATTTGTTGACAAAGGTTCTTCCATTTTATCAGTCCCCAAAAGCTCTATAGACTTCACCATTTTTACAGAAATATCAGCCACATTGCTCTGCCTTTTTTTGAATGATAGTTCCCTGCATGCATGCTTTTTTCCAACAGTCTAAGCAAATCTGGAGTTTTCAGTAGAACCAGATATGACAAAACTCAGTGAACACACAGGGAACCTCCCTGTATCTGGTGGGAGGGAGAGAGATAATATAGGGTGCAGGGACCAGAAATCTGTGGTTTCCGCTCCTAGCTGAGTTCAGTGACTGCAAAGCAAAATCTTCTTTGCTTTTTTTTCCCCTCTCTTTCCTCAGAGATTTTAAGACTCCCAGACATACTGTGGCCCACTTTACAGTGCCTCCTATATTTTCCTCCACATCTACTCTCTCTCTAATACTCCTTAGATGTTCTATAGCCTGACCATAAGGACTCTGTGGGAGATAACATATTCAGGATTAAACAGTCAGGGGTTTGATCAGGAGGAAAGTGGATTCAGGTGTGCTACTGCATAGAGGAATGGCTACTATGTAAAAGTTGATGACTGCACCACAGCCACCACCACTACCGTTATATTATTGATTAAAAGTGACTGCGACTGCTCACCGTGTGTGCACAGATCACCTAAGCTTGTGATCACCTAAGCTACTGATCTGCATTCCTCAGCTGACTTGGACTTTAGGTCACTCAATCTGTAACTCTCAAATGGCCTTCAGCAACATGTAGATGTCCATCTAAGAAGATATACAACATTTGACTTTGTTTAAAAAACCGTGGTCAGAAGACAGAATACTTAGAATATTTCAGATACCTCACAGAGTTAAATGAGTTTATATGGATTGTTTTCTTGAATGCGTGCCCACAATTTGAGTTTCGCTTTTATGTTATCATGGATCTTACCTTAAGCGCTCTGTAATATTAACAAATTGAGACCTAAAATTTTTTTTTGAGATAGATGAGAAATATTATATATAGATTACTGTTGACTAAGGGAAGATATTGTGTAACATCTGTCATTGGCACAATCAACAATAACATTGAGCATACTGATTCTGATCCATGGATCACTGGACCCCACTGCACTGACAGCTTTGTATCTATTACATAGTTTATTTCTTCTATGATTGTCTATTGTGCTTTTCCTTTAAAAGAGAATTTTACTCAAAGATGGCAATGTTTTCAAAACCACAAATGCTGTTTGTTTCATGGTTACAAAAGAACGATTAATCACCTCTTTACCTACATTTATCTGTTTTTTCTGCATTAGGTCTTAAAAGCTGTTGAAAAGTTACCTGCAGTCTGAAATGGTAGAGAGCCTGGCATAAAGGACACACCTATTTTACGCTTAAGGGATACTGCTTAATTCATTTGAAGAATTAAAGCTTTGGACAGATTGCTATCTTTCTGAGCATCTCAACAGCATTTAGTTTCTGTCTGATTAGAAGCACTTAATGCCACTACACGTGCTACAATGAAAACTCTAAGACAAATTCAATGTTTTGGTATCTGTGTTGCCTGTACATCTGCTACAGCATCCTGTATGCTGTTCAGTCTGCTAGTTTCTTGCTGCTCATCTCTGAACGTACGAGCTCGTCCACTTATTTCTAATTCACCTTTCCTTTCTATCTGGAATGCTCCTACAGAACTTTGTACTGAAAGGGCTGGTGTGCAGCTAGATATGAATGTTTTTTCTCTCATTGGAAGCACATTGAAGACATCCATCGGACAAAACATCACTCTATTCTATCCAGACAGGCTTGGTTACTATCCTTACAAAAATGAAGTCACAGGAGAGGCAGTCAATGGAGGACTTCCCCAACTCTCTCTGCTGGAGAATCATTTAAAAAAAGCCAAAGAGGACATTCAGTTTTACATTCCTTCAGATGAACAGTTTGGACTGGCTGTCATTGACTGGGAAAACTGGAGACCTGTGTGGATAAGGAACTGGGGATCAAAAGACATCTACAGACAGGAATCCATTGAACTGATTCAGCAGACAGACCTGACTCTATCAGAAGCCGAAGCCAGGACTATAGCTAAAATGGAATTTGAAGCTGCAGCAAAATCAATTATGTTAGAATCTTTAAAGTTGGGCATAGCAATGAGGCCAAATCGTCTGTGGGGGTATTACCTTTATCCAGACTGTTATAACTATGATTACAAACAAAATCCACATAATTATACTGGAGCTTGTTTAGATATTGAAATAGCAAGAAATAATGAGCTTAACTGGTTGTGGGAGAAAAGCACTGCACTTTATCCATCTGTCTATCTAGAGACAGCCTTAAGATCTTCCAGAAATGCCCAAGTCTTTGTTCGCAACAGAGTTCAGGAAGCCATTAGACTTTCGTATGTCTCTAACTCTACTCACCCCCTTCCAGTTTTTGTATATACACGTCCAGTATTCACAGATGTCTATGAGGAATATCTCTCTCAGGTGAGTGGATCTAGACTTTAAATATTTCAAATGTAGGTGATGTTTATTTAGCAAGTACGCTAACTTGTATCAGAAAGAAAGTATATAGATTTTGAACAAAAAGTTTCAATTAATCTATCAACTAAATTTAGTCAAACCTAGCACTGAGGGGGCTATTTTCAAACCTTTCTCATAGTATTTACTAAATAATGTTTTACTCTGTGAGTAGTCCCTACATGTTGCAAAATATTAAAAGGCTAGAAAGCATGTTTTAGTACATTAACTCAGAGAAAAGAAACATGAATAATCTCTTCCAAAGAGAATTAGTGAAACTGGGCTGGCCTAACGTCTGCTCTTTTATGTTATAAGAAAAATAAATGAGTCTTTTCTTTTTTCTTAAATAAGTTTTTTTTCCCCCTGTTTTTTACTTTGAGATGTAAGAGATGTTTCTCTTCTGGCTTTGTTAGAGAACTCTTTAGGGACCGTACGGATGATTATTTTAAGACCCGGTTCCCCAGCTGAAGTGGGAGAGGACATTACAATATTCACTTGTTTGTTCCAAAAAATCAATATTTTTTTCTGTTGAACTTACAATGTGTAAGTTAAAACAAAGAGTTTCCATTGCAGAGATTCTTAAACAGTAAACTACCCTTCTTCCACTCCTAATTCTTCTGATTATTTTGATGACATAATTAATTTAGTTCTCCAGAAATGAAAGAACTTCCCTGCCTACCTAAGACTTGAAGTACTGGTGCAAAAGTTAATCAATTTTTTAAAATTAGAACATAAAAACGTCACATAGACATAAAGACAAAGCAGGTCACAAGTCTTCTGGTAAGTTAGATAAATTTTAAAGCTGGTGAGGAAATTCTGTCCTTAGATGCACTGGAGTAACTAAGCGGTACTTGAATATCTCATGGGTTATTCACGGTTAGGTCTAATCATCTTATTGTGGTTCTGGCTACACTTTTTCCCTCACACTTGTATATAAATGTGCCCTATAAAGAGATATCACCAAGTTGCATGACCTCCTCCTTGCCCTGGCCACACCAGTCAACCAGACCACGAGGAAGGGGAAGTTTGAGGGTGTGACACTGGTCACTGCATGGACAATCTTGTGTCTGGTGTCCTCTCACACGCCCAGGTATAGCATCACTGGCCTGTATGCCCAGCTCCCTGGATACCTTCAAGGAGCATGGGGTGCTGTTTAGGGTCTGTGATGGTTTTTCTAGTTACTAACTTTAAATCCTGCAACCCTCACACTCTTCCTTTTCATTTGTTGCCTCCCATGGTTAGTTGGTTTCTCCTGGTTTCTCACTTCTCAGACAGGCTTTAAGGTTCTATAGGGCAGGGGTAATATCTGACCTTAAAAGGAGAACTGAACAGAAAAAACAATTCTAAATCAGTCTTTGTGAAAGGCCTATGGCATCCTCTTGAGAAAAGAGACTGCTATTTTTTTGCTCTAGCACCTTCTGGTAACTGAAATTAAGTGAAGGAAGCTGTGCTTTCCAGCCTCTGCCTCGGGCAGCGTTACTGAAGCGGGTTACTACCAACCCTGAGTAGCCAGGAGGCAATGAACCAAAATAAAATAAGTGGCTTGAAATGGTTGGATGGGTGTACGCCATATGCCTAACAACTGGCTCAGTTTTACAGCCTTGTTTTTCTAACCAGAAGACATATTTAAATTGGAAATAGTTGGCAACATTTTCTGGCCTCATCTGCTCAACTCCATCCCAGAATAAAATAATGTAATTGAGAGCAAAGTGTTTACATCATATGTAATTACTTGCTGTTTCAAAGTGGTTATTTTGGCTATATAATTTACTCTATGCATTATACCTTTTGTCCTTATGTTATAGCTTACTTACGTTAGTGTGGTTCTTTGCACATTTATTCTCAGGATGACCTGGTAAATACCATTGGAGAATCTGCTGCTCTGGGTGCTTCTGGAATTGTGATCTGGGGTGATATGAAATTAACACAAAATAAGGTATGCCAGATTAATTATATGAGATTCTTAAAGAGCAATAACATGAAAAGGACATAAAGCATTATGATAATTTACATCATATATTTTACTTTAAAAATGATGACTCCATACAGTTAGCAGACCTGATGTCTTCTCTAGACTAAAAATACATTTAAGGCTTATACAAATTGCCCGTGACTACACAGGCTAAGAGCTTAACCTTTGAATGTACCAGTGTTAGCTGTGAGTAACTGAACAAGCTACTGTGATAACTGGAAGCAAGTTAGCACTTGTTCAGTTAATTTAAAGAAAGAGTTCTCATATTTTCATATCATTCCAGTCATGAGGTACAGAAAAAGTCCTTGGGCTTGCTCAGAACAATTACTCCAAGGTCCTTCCTCTTTTTTTATTTTTAATGCGGCGCAATAGCAATAGCATTTAAAACATTAGGAGGAGTCAGAATGGGAGGATTTCAGCTCTAGCCTGTTCTGTGTTTCATAAGTAGTAGTCTAACTAACTCCAGTGATCTGAGTCAGAAGAGGAATAAAAAAATAACTTGTTTTAGAAAGGTCAAATACACAGTTTGAGAAACACTGTTATAAGGATGTTCAAATAAATCTTTTGAACTAGCTCATTCATACCCCGGCAAGCTTGGTCTAATAAACCTGGTACGTGAAATACTTTCACCCTCTTTTGAAGTCTTTTAAGAGCAAGAACTGAAACTCTTCAGCACTGTTGGGCTTCCTGTAACAGAATGCATGGCCAAATAAAACTCCTGCAGGTCTTTAAGGGCCAAATTGTCAAAGGCATCCCACTTTCACTCTTGCTGTACATGCCTAGCTGTGAGTATGCACATCAGTTGCACCTGAAGCTTTTTTGCATGCTGCCCCAGTAATAGGACATAGATGAGCAACAACTTTTATTGTTCGAATTTTGACATTTGTATGAGCAAACAGAATTTTCCATATCACAGTCAGACCAAGTATCTACACAGCTGTGCAAGGGAGTGAACGTTGCGCACTTACAGAGTTACAGAGTCTTTTCTTAAGGGTATCATTATCACTGGCCTCTCAGCAATGAAACATTCTTACGAGCCTTGCTTGTAAGAGAAATACACCAACCAAAATTTTCTAGCCAGGAATTTTATATATCTAAAAGAGAAATAAACAAACAAACAACTACATACCAGATTTTTAATTGGATGGAATGACTTAATATAATAATTACTTGGCTTTCAGCTGTGTACGTGTTTTTTTTTTTTTAAATTCTGACGCTCATCACAGCAAACACTGCAGAACAACAAAAACACCCAAACACTCCTTAGATATTCCAGATTCTAACTCCAGTTGATTTTAGTGAGGTGAGTCTTCTAACACCTTTTGTAAGGGCATAAAGGGCATTGGAAAATATTTCACTATGCTAAAGATGGGTGAAAAGCCACACTTCACCTGTGAAGAGCTCAAGCAAGATATACAGGCCAAGGATATGTCACCAGCATCAGGGCCTTGTGGGCGCAGGAGGTACTCTGTAATCTCTCAAGTTGGCTTCAGGAGGAAAGGAGACACCGAGGCCCATAAGGCTGGATTGTTTTAAGCCCTAGCTGCAGACCTAGACCAGCTCTGGCTTATTTTGCAAGGCAGTGGTAGACCCTTGGGGAATCACTGTTATTTCCTATCAGTGAAGCACAATCAAACTTTGCCCTTCCTTCAGCTCATATCATGAGATAGAGGATGAATATCTTACGACTCTGAGGCATTAGAAGATCTTATTATGTGGTCTGTGTGGTTAGGAAGGCCCTATATACTATGTGATATGACTGAATAACCAAAAGATTTAGCAATAACAGAACAAAATTCCTCTTGAGAGTAAGGTGAAGTGTATTATGCAAAAGCCTGTCTTCCAAGTTGCTCAGTTCAGGTGTTTACACGAATACTTGTTTGCACAAGCTATTGTAAGCTGGAGACAAAAACCCTGACGCATGCCAGAAAGTATATCAGTTCTGAAAAAAGGATGCTTAAGGCTTTTGGTAAACTTGGGACACAGAAGTAAATACTGAATATTAGGAGGATATTTTAAAATGGGAATGAGACAATAGTCTTCTAACTGGTTAACATTCATGAGATGAGTTCTTCTTACAGCCCCACTTTTGGGACACTGCTAGTCACTAAATGGGGGAGGGATGTGCAGGGATAAGGAAAAGGCAAGCTTTATCAATGAAGCTGAGGAAGGTAACAAAATGCTATTTCCATAGGCTTCTTTTTTTGAACGCCTGGCATATAAGCCCTGTTCCTGTTATTCTTCCCCCACTTCCTCTCCATATGCCTGCTCCTATCTGACCTTACTTCCTCTCTTCCTTACACCATTCCTTTGATCTTTTCTTGCATGTTGAAATCAATCCAACTGAGTTGACTAAGCCTGCTCTGTCCTTGCATCGCTGCTGTGAAATCATGGGCAGACAGAAAGGAAAAAGCAAGATCTTAAACAGCCACGTTTGATTCTAGGTTGTTAGGTTTGCAAAACAGTTAGCAAAGTCATTGTGTGATAAACCTGTGTGTCTTAATCGGAAGTCTGAAAATAAAAGTCAGCAGAGAGATAACTTCTGCTATTCTTCCTTCGCTCAATTCTCTTTTCTTTTATCTTACCAAAAGAGGCCCATGTTTCAATGTCAGTGGTTCCACACTATCAAACTATTAAAAGACAGTTAGTGGTATTTTTAATGCCATACAGAAAACTATTAAGTAGGTATATTCTGCATAAAAAAGTCCCACAAAACTAATAGAACAAGGAATAAAAATTATTACTTAAACAACAGCTTTATTAGATATTTTGACTTATGTATTTTTAATGTGAGTTAAAAAGTTTTTGATCTTTTTAAAAATAGGGATCAACAAACAAGCAATTTTCATGAAATGCTAAACTACACTCAACTCTACCTACAAATATACTTACAAATCAGACTCCTTAAAAAGTAATCGTTTTTTTGATCTTCTGTTGAATATATAAGCAAGGGAAGGAGAAAAACAGTGAGTGGGGCCTCTGTACATTGAATTCTTTATCCTGTCACTGAAAGACTAGCCAGAAATTAAATCTCTAATACAGAGACCATAAAAAAGTCACATAATGCACCTACTGAGATCATTTCCATGGGTAGAAATAACAGCTTTATCTACCTGTTGATGTCTGTTATTTGGCAAATATCCTAAGAAGACACAGCTTCTGAAAAAAACCAACAAATAAGAATTCCCAAAGCCTTTGGTTATTAAGCTATGCAAGCATACTCAGAATAAATGCCAATTGCACAATCGATTAGATGTTCTCTTAACATATTTTCAGTTTGATCATCCTCCCAAAATGCTTTGCATTCAAAAAATGCTCCGAAAGCTACTCCTGCTGCTTCTGGTTATTCAGGTCAGGGGAAAATTGAAGTCTCAGAGAGATGATTTGATATAAAAATTATTCGTTCAGGCTGGCAATTTTTCTTTTCAGGATCCCTTCAAAATGTTCAAGTCATGTGAAAAGGAACTTTGATCCATCATGTAACTTCTTTAAATGCATCTGATTCCAAATGCTGCAAGCAAACTCATACAGATAGAGTGAAAGTTTTAACTCATCTGATTTCTGACATGAGTGCTTTTAATAATGGCTCCAACAAGCACCCAGCATAAATTTGCTGTGATCCTTGAACTATATAGCAACTTTTCAGATAAGCTTGCTTCCGATAACCAGTTAAAACCATTATCAGAACCTCGAGAGAAACTTTTATAGATATCCGCTACAGCACTGTTATTAGAATGACAGCATTTTTATAGTTTATTTACTAAACTTTTCAGCCATGATGTTCTTTTTACAGAACACCTGTAGGACTCTGGACAACTACCTGAGGAGGACATTGACTCCTTACCTCATCAATGTAACAATGGCAGCCAGAATCTGCAGCCACGTATTATGCCAAGACTCTGGTGCTTGTGCACGAAAAAAATGGAATTCCAGTGACTACCTTCATTTGAACCCAGAGAATGTTGTCATTCGAATGACAAAAGATGGAAAATACACTCTACTGGGGCAACCAGCATTTCAGGATCTGCAAACGTTTATAGAAAAATTTGATTGCCGCTGTTATGCAGGGTACAGTTGTGAACCTAGAGTTGATATTAATGCCATCCATTACCTCCATGCTTGCATTTCGGAAGATATTTGCATTCACATGTCCTCAAATTCACTTTCTAATATAGAAGCCTCTGGAGCAAAGATTCCACCTAACAGAACTCTTTTTTCATTTACCTCTCCGAGTAAGGTGACATTATCTACACAACATGAAATAAAAGATTTCCAATCTACTATTGGAAATAATATATCTAACAGAACAACTACAGAATATAACAATTACAATGTCACAGCCACCACTAGCTATGATTTTGAAGCAAATGGTACTCATACTTGCAGTGGTTCTTCATCAGGTAAGATACGGATGTTTAATCTGTTTTGTTTAATTCTAATTTTGAGCACCTTAATATAAATGACCTATGAAAGTGAGAATGAAATTCTTTTTCTCTGGCTTTATTTGAAATTCTAGAGGTTTTAATAGCAGAGAAAAATCATTCCTGAAACATGCAAAACAGCTGCAACTCTGTGGTCTTAATCTGTATCAGGTCACTTTTTCTATTCCATAGGTGACACGTCAGCTTGAATGCATTTTTCCCGTTTAATTCTAAACTTCTATTTGGGGCCAAAGACATGGCAGTCTGTATATACCGATTATACTGTATGACAGGATAATCTAGAATAATGAATAATTTGTAACAGTTCTATTTGAAAAACACATTTGTTCATAATGTAATTTTGTATACTTCAAGTTAGGCCAGTTAAATCTATCTCAGCTTGGATTTAATTGAGTCTCAGTAGTCAACTGGTTTGGTGCTCTATGTAGGAATGAATTTCATCCCACGTGAATTTTACCTCCTAAAAACACCTAGCTTAACTTTGGACATGTGGGAATTTTCAGCATAAAATTAAATTGATAAAGTAAATTTTACTCTTAAAACTTACTTAAACTTATTTTAAAAACTTGCTCTTTTTCTATTTTTCACAATATCTGCCAGTATACTGTGTTTTCTCCTTTAACTGAATATATTCCTAACTTTTTAAAAAGTTTCTAACTTTAATGTTAAATGTTTACTTCAAATACTAGAACTTCATTACTTAAAATTTGAGCTGTATCAGTTACTCCTTCATTCTTTCTTCCCTTCTCCTAAACCTTCCCACTTATTTCAGGTGTCCCCCTCCTTGGCTTTCAATTGTTTTATCTGGCCAATATTCACAACTCCTCATGCGATCTACCTCTTCAACCCCTACCAGCATTGGCCACCAATCCTAGTTTCTCTGTTCACCCAGCTCTACCAATTGGATATAAATGATTGTCTCAGCACCATTTGGATAAAGAGTTAGCGGGGTTTAAGAAGGTTGTGGGTGTGGGAAGGTCTCTATGCTTGCCTGCCTATTTCCTGACCAATCTGTTCGGTGGAAGCCAGTTTGTTCCTTAGGAAAACTCAGTGAATTGACTTCTGATGGGTAAAGAGTGGCTGCTGGCATGGATGGATTAAAAATATCTTCCTAGAACTAGCTATGATCTGCATAAATAAATCACCCTCTCCCATCGATACAACTTACCTCACTAATGGAACTTTCTGGGATTTTCATACAGTAGACCTTTATTAAAAAAAAAAAAAGAAGACGTTAATGCCTAAACTTAGCTTAAAACACATATCATAATTCCTGCAATCCATTGCCTTTGAATTTTCGGGCTGTCAATCCTAACAGATGTGCAGAAAAATAAATGAAGACTTTAGATTTAATATGGAGAAATAACATTTTTATGGCTTTTGGATAGCAAGCTATCAAGAGGAAGTGACAACTTTCCCATTGCAGTGATGGTGTTGAATTCACAAGTCAGAGGTATTTCTGCTCAGTGTTCCAAGTAGAACCATGAATAAAAGGATATATATGTAGTGGACTGTCTGGCAGAAAAGAGGTCAGCTCTATAACCTCTGTAAGAAAAGTTTCTTCATCGCAGCTTTGATAAAGGTTATTCGACCTTGGCTAAACACCAGCCGTCGTATGTCTTCTGCGTGATTCCTGCATCTCAGGTTTTTCCCTTTCATGCTGGACATGCGATAGCTATAAAAAGATTTCTAAAAACTAGAAATGTCATTGATAATGTTTTAGCATACTTATCTTAACATTCAGACATACATGAAATTTTGTATTTTCAGCAGAATTTTTTTTACCATAGCTAAAATTGTATGTTGGCATATAGAGTTTAAGTTCAATGGATGTCTTGCTTTGTTAAATTACATATTGGCAAAATTTATTGAGATTAGGTTTGTTGGTATATAGCTCTTTGAAAGACACTGATTTTGCAGTACCTTGTGATAAGGGAACTTGCAAAATCACAAAGCCTGCAGGTCTTGCCATGTGTTTTTTTTTAACTATTATTCAAGTAACGGCAAGCAGAGCATTTCTGATGGCGGTGGGGGGAAGTCACAAGGCAAGGAGGAAAGGGAAGTTAAAATAACAGAAGCGTTAAGATAGAGCATCTAAGACCTTGTAGTGGACGCAGAGGTAGTGAATTGCAGAAATAAGAGAGTGAAGCAGTAGGGAATGGAGACAGATCGGTCTCTTCCTCTTCCACACGTTTTATCTACCTGGTATTTAATACAGACAACCTTTCCCCAAAGCCCACTATCAAGATGAAGGAACACAGTAACTGTGTTAGATGAGACCCATCCATTTTATCCCATCTCTTTTCCTTGAGAGCAGCCAGGACCAGAAAAAAACAAGCAGAGTGAAAGGACAGCAGGCAACTGCAATAACCGGTCCATAGAATTGTATCTTCCTAATCTCCATCCATAAATAGGTATCTCGTGCCCTAATGCAGAACAATTTCTACACACTCACGCACAATGCTTTACCAACCACTCTTTGAATTTTCATTTTTGATATTTACATTATCCACATGTATCAGCAATTCCTGTTTTAAATCCTACTGACTTTGTGTCATAGCGAGCTTCAGGCTAGCTCTGTGCTGTGTAAAATAGTATTATCCAAATATTTTATTTTGCTCTGTATTGTATGTGTCCTGCCTATATTCTATGTCAAAGAGTCACCCTGGAATCAGCAAGTCTCCATGGAGTAAGGAAGGAGGAAAGAAGGAAAGCAGGGCTACATCTTCCATTGCTGGTAACTACGTTATGTTCAAAGCCAAACTTGTTTTCTCCTAAAGCAGGCAAAAACAAACCAACCAACCAACAATATCCTTACTTTCCCTGTATTTCCTGTAATAATTATTTGTCTCTGTAGCTTTATAGTTTGAGTTTCTTACGTTCTGTTTTCAAAAGATGAAATACTAGAGGAACATTGATGAACGTTCATAATATCCCTTTCATTATGATTCATTATTTTGTACTTCTCCCTTCCAGGGAGAATTCAAGCTGGCAATACCCAGGGACAGGGGAATGCTAAAATGGGTTTAATGAAGTGACAGAGTCTAAAAAGGGAGGTTCAGCTACCTTCAATGCTCTCCTTCAGTGTGTACAAATTTTAGTTAAAATTTTTATTAAAATTCTGCATCTCTATCTGAAGAATCTGGATCTGGTTTACTATGCTGCTTATTATGGGACATCTAAAAACACTGGCACTTTTAAGAGCCACTAAGTGGCTGTTGGCACTTAGAGAACCTGAAGAGAAGTGAAATCATGGTCTAGTGCCTGCCTTACAGATTCTTGCCTCTCTGGATGAAAAATAAAAACGTAGGGAGAGGTTTTGGAGAGACAGGCCAATAAGACCACTTTGCAGATTGCCTAGGATGTGACTAGCATCCCAAGAAGCCCAGGAAAATTTCCTTTAATCTCTGCATCACACTGACTACTCCATTTTATACACATCAGCAAAGAACTGTGTGAAAGATTCCAGACCTGTATGACATGCACTTGACAACTCCCAGACACCGATTAGATCCGTACGTGCACTTATCCATCATATTTCAACATAAACAAGACAGCAAAGACAGTTACATAATTTTAAAATGTATTCAATTATAGAGCAGTGATGACATTTTTAAGACAATCAAATTCCCTCCCTCAAACATAAACAATTAAATGTTATTTGAAAGTTATTTCACAGCCTGTTTGTGCAAGCCCCTTCATGCTGGCAGCATCCATTCTGCCAAAGCAAAACACACTGCAAGATGAGGACCTGAGATTTCAGAAAGGAGTTATGAGTTTCTTTCCAAGGAATAACAGCTACACAAAATCATTTTTATTATATGATTTCAAACAATTTGCTGCTTTACTAAACAAAGACTCCATTTTTCTTAGAGAAATTTCTTTTTTGCTGTGTTCTTTTTTTGCAGTTTTTTTCCTGTC